CCCCAAAACCCCAAAACCCCAAAACCCCAGAGTGGGAAATATGAATGATCCTTCATAAAAGTAAAATTAAAGCTAGAATATTTATAATTGCAATTAAATGAACATAAAAACAGCTTCTCTAACGAACAACGGCATTTAAACTAATCATTATTCAGCCAAGTTCACAAACAGCACTATCAATCACTTCACAGAGGAGTAAGTAAACCAAATATATATATAGTCATCAGTATTTGTATCTCATCACATAGTCATATATATCTTGATTAATAGTTTAAACAGTAGCCCCGTGGCCACAGTTTCCGCTGCTCATCATTAATTGATGCAGAATTCAGGGTAAAAATCAAATTAAAAATCGTATGAGAAGGGTCGATCCTCTTTGACAGGCAGCGGGAGTGCATACTATGGAAATAATAATTCGAGTGCAAAAAAAGCCAATTAGTCCATGATGCATACAGCTACTGGAATGGGCATGGGAATTGGTAATGCAGCTGGGAATAAGTAGATGAGTTGTATACCGAGCATGCAATACTATGATTTGAGTACGATGTCTCCAAGCAAAAATACAAAGCCCATAGGAAACCAAAGCAATTTAAGTTCAAATGTAAGCAACTTAGGTTTAAGCTAAAATTCAAGCATTTACATGCAAACAATGACCTATAATTAGAGCACTGCGACAATAAATAACTTCGCATAAGGCTTGACTTCTTCGCGTTTGAATAGTCAGAGTAATTTAGGCTTGCTTCCATCAAATAAATATGAACCACCAATGAATAGGTCACCATTATAAACGAACAACAATGCAACTTAGTAAATTTAGTAAAGTAATTTGAATCGAATTACAGAACTGGAAGCTCTTAGATCGTAATTGCTGAGTTCACCTAAAAAGCATCATACACCTGTACTTCAATAATATAATTAGGATGGATACAGATAATAACAAACACCAACAAGTAGTAACATTCGTCTGAGAAATAGTATGTCAGGCCAAAAGCCCTCTACAGAAAAAGCTTAGGCAAAAAATACTAAGCCTTAAGATGAGCCAACAGAGATAGATGAGGATTGCAATGTATAGGGTGAGGAATTCGGATGTTTAAAAGAAGAGGATGATGAAGATGATAATGGTGACTTCACACTTATGACGAGAGAGCACTCAAATACCTAAACAGCTATGTAGAGATAGAGTGAATGCCTTTAAGTAAAATCTTATAGCTAGTTATTCAGCAAATAAAATGATGAGTAGAAGAAATACGGGAGTGTCTCTTCATAGCAGTAAAGCATAATAAAGAAGGCTATTGCTACAAGCAATAACAATCAGCCAATTCATAATGAAAGGAATATCCTTTAAAAAATTTTGCCTTCTAGATCACATGCTGAATCTTTCAATTCCAAATCAAGTTAAATGCCCATATAAAACTCTGGTGCAGGAACTAACACTGGAAATGGAGTTGGAGTTCGAAAGAACTCAAATACTCTAGCTCTGAGTAATGCTGCAATAAATAGCAACCTTTCTGCTGGGGTTAATTCTAATGTGAATAGCAATGTTCATTCAGGATCAGGATACCCAATTGATAAATCTAATAATGTTTCGCAGAGATAAACACCGAGTGCTTAAATCGGGATTAGAGCAAATCTTAAAAGTGCTTAGGGATTCATGAGTGGAATAGAAGCTTTAAGTCATGTCAATCCTAATATCACCAAGCCAGTATTGTCCAAACAGCATAGAAACTCTGGAAAAGAGGAATCAAATCCTTAATCAGTGACAACAAGTGATTCCTCATCTAAAACTGAAATCAAATCAAATCCTGCTTTTCAAGATAACAAGCCAAGTGTTAGTTGTAATCTCAACAATATAACTATTTTGTCCAGTTCAGGAGCTGTCTAGTAAAATAATTAGCAGTAATCTACCACCTCACATAATACATCTACAACAACTTAGAATCAAAACCTTATCAGTCACTATAGGAAGAATTCTGGAAATGGCAGCAATATACATGCAAGCAATGCTTTAACTATGATATAGCAGCAGAACTAGAGAGGCAAAGGTGACTAGAGAAATGCCAATAGAAATTCAGGACTGACTGACTAGACTCTATAGTCCTCTTATGATGTGAACGATACGATTGAAGATAACACGGCTAAGTACATTGGTAAAGATGTTTTCTCAAATATGAATACATTCAGCAATTATCAGGCTTGCAAGTTACAGTCAACTACTCTTATCAATCCAATATCTTGTGAAAGCAGTAGTGATGTAAACACATCATAAATCACAACCAGCCAGAAGTATACCTAGGGGCCAAGAAAGTCACCAATGAATATCTAAAATTCCCTTAAAAAGAAGAAGAGAAAGAAGTCCTAAAATGGAGGTAACATCAATAACTTCCTTCAGGGCATTTCTCAAGCAGTACTATAGTAAAAGAAACCTGCAGGTGTGTAGATCCCAACTATCTAAAACACCAACCTTCCTCCCTATTCAGTTTCCAGTTCCTCTAAGTTCACGACTCCTAAGGAGAACAACTTAAATATCTTGGCAGGTGTGTCTTAGGGAAACACCCACAGCAACATTCTTGCAGCCTTTTCCAATCAAAACCTAGAGAATAAGGTTTCAAACTAGACCACGAAAGAACATGAAAACATCAATAACAACTTGAATTAGACTGCGACTCTTAAAGAGCAGATACTGAATGAATAGCTTAGGCAATCTTAGAATGCCAGTGTGCATCAGAGAAATGGTTCTAACAATAGCAGAATGACTGAGAAGTCATCCAATAACACTGGCAACGGTTGTAGTAGTGCTGGAGGCAATCAAAACAATTCTAGCATGATGAAGAAAAGAATGCAGCCTAATAAAACCACTTCGTTCGCTCAGCCATCACAGACTAATACAATTGGCTCTATATTGACATAGAATAGCATGAATCATATAGTGCCTTTAGCCTTGACTAGATCTAATACAACCTAACCTACTGGATAACCTAATAATCATGCTATTCCGTAAACATTCTCATAATTTTCTAACTCTAAATTTAGAAGCAAAAAGAAACCAACATGGTCATTGTTAGACTCTGAGAAGCAAACCTATGGTGACAGATGTCCTAGAGGCTATGATAAAGTAGATCTGCTTGGAAAGTAATATACCCTGATTGCAATCTTAAATTTACTTTTAACATAGAGGTGGATGTGCTTTAGTTTGGCTAGGAAAGAACCAGAAAACAGGCGAGCTTGCTGCATTGAAGCAGTTCCCAAAATCCAAGTCTTAAATTGATCAGACAGCCCGAGTTGAAGTAGTCTTTGGCAGATCCCTATTCCCCAAATCTTAGAACGGCTAAACTACTTATGGTCTTGATCCTAATGCATTCCCTGGCATGAAATCGATTGCCAAACTTATTGATGACATAGATGATGGCAAGGATTACTGGTTGGTTTACGAAGTAGGCTCACACAGTTTAAGCAAGCACCTATTTGATGTGAAGGGAGAGTTCTATAAGGGTGAAAGAATATATCTTGTCTAGCATCAATCATTCTTCCAGGCTTTGAAATAAAACAACAACCTCTTGAGGCAGCTTATCAAGAAAATAGCAGAAACTTTCGCTGTCCTGTCGGAGTATAAAATCGTGCATGCTGATATCAAACCCGACAACATACTAGTCAACTTTGACGGCCGTGAGATCAAGGATCTGAAACTAATTGATTTCGGATCAGCGTTTTCATTTGAAAACCCCTCAAACATACAAGCAAGCACTCCAGAATACTTAGCACCGGAGGTACTTGAGTATCTTGAGAACAGAGCTTAGAACACCTAAGCCAATGGTACAAACAGTGGGAATCTTTGTAAAAGACTTCAGCCTTGGTCATATGACATCTGGTCTCTAGGCGCAATACTCTTAGAAATTTTAACAGGTTTTCCTCTCTGGCTTTCTTTGAAGTCAAGAATTGCAACTCAATCAGGCAAAAACATCATTGGCATGGGTATATTTGGGGTTTAAGGTCGTGAAGGCAAGAAAATTCTTGTCAAGTAGCAGGCTATGCTTAAAAACATACCAAGTCTTCTTAAGAAGTATGAGTGCTATGGCCTGGATAAAGATCAAAACTTCATGGATCTTTTACTCAGGATGCTCGATTTCAATGCTCTGAGAAGAATATCTCCAGAGGAAATCATTGAACATCCTTTCATCAGGGGCGCTCAATGAGAATTATAGTTTAAAATTAAAGATTAACTAATCAATGAGTTGAGTGTGAGTATTTTTAAACATAGTTGAGATCATTGATATTGTAGAACTATTGAATGAATAATAAGTTAAGTTATTTGTGTAAAGTTCTTCTTTCACCAATTGTTTCAATTACATCTACATGGGGTTTTGGGGTTTTGGGGTTTTGGGGTTTTGGGG